GACAATGAAATAGAGAATTACAGAATCCCTAAAGAAAGCCCAACATGACAATGAAGACTTCGTGATGAACAATTTTCAACATAATTAGCGGAAACCATTCTGACACTTAAGGCCACTATGACCTTGACCTTTGACCTAGTAATTTGAAAATCATTAAGCATCATTTACATATAATGACCAATCGGTATGTGAAATATGAAGTATTTGTGATGAATTGTTTTCAAGTTAATCAGCGGAAACCATTCTGTCATAAAAGGCAATTGTGACCTTTGACCTAGTAACCCCAAAATTAATAGGAGTCATCTGCTAGTTATGATTAATAAGTTAATGAAATATTAAGACTTTGTGTTGAATAGTTTTCAAGATTATCAGCGGAAACCATTCTGACATTTAAGGCCACTTTGACCTTGACATTTATCCTAGTGACCCCAAAATTAATATGGGTCATCTACTTGTTATAGCCAATCAGTATGTGAAATATGAAGACTTTGTGATATAACGTTTTTAAGATAATCAGCGGAAACCATGTGGTCTATAGACGGAGACCGACCGACGGACAGACAGACAGACCGACATTAGCAAAACAATATACCCCATCTTCTTCGAAAGGGGGGGATAATGAATCCGTTGTACAGCATGCCCTGGTCGTCGGCACATCATATGCTCTGGTGTCGCCATATTTCAGCTTCACAGATTAATAATAACCCGTCTCACGGTGTATTTTGTGCGTAGGATATATTGTAGCATGTACAAACTAAGGATGCACGTGTTCCGACTGACGAGCACTGCGTACTCATTGGCAGAATGCTTCGGCGCAGTGTTTTATTAACTGATAATAATTCAATTTCAGTTAAAGAAAAACATACATCATTTTAGAACATTTTTTAAATACTGTTTTTGATTCACCAAAACATTTAGATCTAGATCTAGTAGTACTCATTAAAGGGACTCCACTGAGGTTTTTTCACATGATGGGACTGGAAATATTTTTTCCAGAAAAATGTACCAATTGATGTAGGTTTAGACCACTAATCTTTGTACAAAAATTCAGATCATTTGCGTACTTCGTTTTTCCAAAATAATTATTCAAATTGTAAAAAAAGAACCAAAAATGAAAAGCGTTTAAACGCTTTTCACTCAAATCAGGCTAAGAATAGCATAAAATACAATTTTCAATTTGTTTCAAACTTTATTTCTTAACTATCTTTGTATATATTTCTGTTTAAAGTGTCCCAGCTCATTTAAGTAAGAATTTCAAATGTTATGTTTTTAGGCTTTTAAACCTCAGTGGAGTCCCTTTGATTCGGAGATTATTCATTCAATTTGCCTTGGGACTTGTTGTGTACGCGTCGAAGTTGGAGTTGATCTTTTTGAATATAAAACAGCTATAAATGATTGTTGGATAAGACAATTGTATTTTACTTGAGGACCATACATCGCATTAATGGAACCACGATGAGATGACTGTCGTATGAACAATTATGCGGATGCTTCTAAATAAAAAATATCATAACATGTTAAATGCTGCTTAAGCCGGGCATGTCGTCAAGGACTGTAGTTTGCATGTCTTAGTACCGTTCATGAACAGGCTCAATCAAACCGAGCCTGCAACATTTTTAGTTTTGTAGTTTTGGGCTTTCATTATGGATTCTTTTTGGCCAGAACTTAACAGAATTTATATTCGTATAAAACTGAAATATTCGTATCTTGTTATGCGGTAAATATTATTTTGCAGTAAACTGTTCATCAATTAAGGTGATCAATCAACGTAAGAGTTAAATTGTCTGCGTGTGGGGGTTTAACAGATATAATTAACAAACAGTTCAAATAAAGTTTACTGTGATGTACCGTAATATAATTATAGTCATTATATTGTGATATACGAGGAGTGTTCTAATATTGTTCCCTCATTATATTCAACTCCAGCAGATATACAAAGTTTCAGTCTCAGTATCCAATCTTAGAGGGCATTGTCATAGTCCTTGAAGATACTGTATTATTACAGAACCGATGTATTTGCGAACATGAAAGGCATTGCTTTAGCATTAGAAACAATCAAAAGTCACAAGGGTCAGGTCAGATGAATAAGGTGGACGGATAAGCATTATGACTATTTGTTGTTTCAGAAAGTCTTGCACTATAGACACCTTGTGCAATGACGCGTTGTCATGCAGCAATCTGACAAACCTATTGCGTGTCTTCGTTTTCGAAAGTTTTTTGTTTAGTTTTCGAAGACTTTTTGTCTTGTAAAATTTAGCTTTTACAAATTTACCTTCTGAAACAATTACCGAATGGCAGAATCCTGAGCAGTAAAGAAAATGACATACACTACCTTCTTTATACTTATGGTCCTAAATCTTGTTTTTTTGTTTTCGTTTTGGCTCATACGAACGAACCTATGTTTCATCAACAGTGGCGACATTTGCAAAAGACCGTGCATTGTAATTTGGATACCGCTGAAGCAACAACTTAGCGCGTTGCACGAGAGCTTTATTTTGTTCATCGGTCAGCAAATGGGGACTCCATTTAGCACAGATTTGTATCATTTTTAAATCACGTTTAAGAGTGCCATGAGCTGCTCATAATGAAATGTCAACGATACTAGCTTTTTGCATAGTGGTTTATCTTGCATCGGTAGTAACTATTTCTTTCATTTTATTGACCACCTTGACATACATTGCTGTTTAGGTCGTATCAACTTAAAGCTAACATGTATATATACCCAAAAAACCTTCATATCCTCGTGTATTTTTGCAATATTTAACAATGTAAGGTTCTTAATACATTATTTGAATACTCCTATGCATAGTTGATTCAACTTTAGGAACAAATACAAACGCTATATATGAAAACGTTGATAGCCATTCACATTACAACGCACCCTTTCAATGAAACCAAATATAAACTATTTATACAAATTTTAGTAGCAGTAATGTGCACACAAAACAAATAAAAGCTGGCGAAAAAGATAAGTAAAATTATAACGTTCTTAAGTAAACCTTGAAAGGAAAGCTATTTAAGTTAAGGTAAAGAAACTAGAGCAGAACTTTCAATGCAATCACACATTCATCAATAATAACGCGAAAACAAATCTCTCTAAATGCTTTGGCTTGTTTCATCGTTTAAGATCTTATACTCTGTAACGGAAGCCGTTCATATTCAGTATAACATTCACAATAACATATATACATATTATATGTTATTTTGGTTTTGGAGTGATATATGTAGATATATTACCTGCTAAGATTTTATATCACCCGAGCCGTTAGGCGAGGGTGATATTTTATCTTGGCAGGTAATATATCTACATATATCACTCCAAAACCAAAATAATAATTTTATTACCCGTCTGGCTCGGTTATATCAATTTCTTTCGGGTGATCAATATCCAATCAAAAAGGCGGAAAAAATCTGGAAGGGTTATAAATATATTTATATAACCGAGCCAGACGGGTAATATACACACTAAATTTCCCCGTTGGGTACCCAACGTTGTAAACAACATGCGCGGAGGTGATGCGCGTACGGTTCGATTTTACGCGGTGTAAATTCCGATTTAAAACCACTTTTTAACTGTCAAATGATAAATATTTACCAAAGTAGAGTAATGATACATATTACCATCAGTATCGAAAACAAATATGACCTTGTGAAAGCTTGATATTAATTACAAAAAAGTGCGTTCAACAGACTACTCCTTTTCTCTTGTTTACATTCGTTAGGTACGGGAAAAATACGTATGTATTTATGTGACGTCATGTTGTGACGAAGAGGTACCCTAAAGGGAATCTTATTTCGACGTTTCATTTGAAACAGCAATGCTTTTTTAAAAAATCGTCTAAACTCGGCAGGGGAAGGGTAATAAAATTATTATTTTGGTTTTGGAGTGATATATGTGGATATATTACCTGCCAAGATAAAATATCACCCTCGCCTAACGGCTCGGGTGTTATAAAATCTTAACAGGTAATATATCCATATATATCACTCCAAAACCAAAATAACATATAATATACACACACACGTCTTCTTAGTTATAACTTTATACCGGACAAATGAGAAATGTGACAGAGCAAGACAATGAAAGTATGTTTTTATTTTGTATTAAGCCACTTTAAAGTATCTATATGTTGTTCTACAAAATTCGGTCCGGTCGAAGAACTTAGTTCAATCCCGTACAATGTTCGGGGTAGTCGATGAATTCATACATAAATCATATTTAGACTAAGAGTTGCTACTTTAAGACGGGATATTGCTATTTCAGATTTTGCATAATTAAAGGCTATGTCATGAAATTATGTTTACCCGTGTAAACTTCCCGTCAATTACGTGCAGATTATACAAAGTTCAGTATGAATGGTTGATTTATTTCATATTCTAACGTCAATGTCCTACGGTGTACTGTACCAAACTAGAGGTTATATAGTAGGGGGATATTTATTCTCTGTATCAACTGCAGGTATATTAATTAAATATTTTAAAAATGTGTGCTAAAAATCCAAAACTGTTTAGTGCAAAAAAGTTACTACATATATCTAATCGTTCACAGATTTATTTATGTAAATAAACATTCTCAAATCTGCACGTTAATAGAATTATAGAACTCCATATGAACACGTATCTGGAAAATGAATTAACAGCACGTTGTTGTTCAGTGAGTGTTCTTCTTTCAAGACAAGTTTATAATAATATTACTTAGCTAAAAACGTATACCCTGATCGTCAGTTCATTCAAGATTTGTATGTTCAATGAGTCAGAGTCTGTCAGCGAAAATGTTTCTCCACAAGGACAGTAAGGATATGTATCAAACACAATCCCTTATTCTGAATATTATGACCACCATGCTTTCAAATTTCATTGTCCCTGGTTTGATAACGACATTATGTCTTAAAGTATTATACTCAAAAGTTAACATCACCAAATAAACATGTTATGACAGTACACCATTAACAATAATGCTGTTTTTATAAGAACCATTGAAAGAAAAAAAAGCAGAACTATGAATTTAAAAAATGCTAGATTTATTTTAAATGCGCTATACAGTTATAATTTCAACATGAAAAAAGACTATTTGGTTTTTAACAACAATAACAGGTAAATATCACAGAATACACAATCACAATACTGGGAAAATAAACACTATATGTTCTCTTTCTATTAAAGTGTTCCATATCTGATCCAAACTGTGCCTATATAAAGGTAAGTAATACAATTCTAGCAAAATAACGCAATCTGAATATTTGGGTTTTACAAATACGTGTGATGTTTTATATCTTAATTTTGAAGTACCATATATAATATACAAATCCAATTCCAGCCGAAATAAAGTTACAGAATTGTTTGTAGTAGTATATGATCTTCAATTGTGTTCAGATCAGGAGCAAATTAACAATTGTTAACTGACAAGACAACGTCAGAATCATAAAATAAACCTTAATACTGTATTCTAAATAAAAAAATAACCCCTTCAAAACATTGTTCCCTTTAATGAAAGTTTGTTTCGAAAACATGAAATAAAATGCCTCCACTCAAAACTTTAAAGAATTGTGAAGTTTTAAAAGTCATACACCTGTATATATCTTGAATAATGATTTCTAGAATTTCAAACTGATATGTCAAGTTTAAACACGAGAAACAAAATCCTAAAATGAGACTGCACTCTAAAGTGTAGACATTCAGGTCAACTTCAGGTACGCAATGGTACTTCACGTTTTCATGCTATCAACATGGCATGTAAGTGTCACAATTTTGAAATTTAACAGTATTTGAATATGCAAGTAGTCGTATCATTGAGAAACAGTATTTCATAAAGATAATAATTATGATATCATAATAAATAAGAATAATATTGCAAACAAGAAACACATAAAATTTTATCACTTTCTTCACTCTGGCCCCGCCCATTGCGACACTCGACATAGATCAGTGTTGACCAAGTGAGGGCGCTTCACGGTGCTTGCTATCGGTGGCAGAAACGAAGACGTCCTTGGTCGCTTAGCAACGCGCCCTGACATTGAAATTTAAAAAAAAAGTTCATATGTTTATAAGAATTTATACAATTTAAGAGATTCAAAAAAATGACATCTAGACAAGAATTAAGACTTATACAATTTCATGATAAAATTGCAATAAATAATTGTATTTGTACATTAAATACAAATCATGAAGATGAATAATGAATCATTGATTGCTTTATTATAAAGCAAGGTTAACATTACTTATAATAACTGTCCTACATTGACAGTCGCTGTGCCATTCTTACACAACAATCACCTGTTTACTTATCTCTATAGACTATCAACTATGAAAGTCTTTATTAGCATAAAACAGCACTTCTACAATAAATAGCAAAATAATCTTTTTATGCAATGTAAAAAAGGGAAAATAAAACGAAAATGAAAACAGATCTAAAATACTATAAAATACCAAACACGTTTTGAAATTTCAAAAGAAAATGAAAACATCTCATATGTCAATTTTTTGAATAATTTATTAAAGAGATCTAATCATGTGTTTAACGCATTTAAATTGTATATGTTAAGCACTGACATTTTTATCACGTAAAACATAGATTTAATTTTACAATCAATTCGTAACTTTAATATAATTGTGAACAATATATTCCTAACTGACTAAAGTATAATTAACAAGGTGAAACAATAATAATCATTGCAAGGCTTGTGGTGGAGAATAAATGTTAAAAGACAGTCTGCTAGTGTTGGGGTCTTTAGGAGGGGCCATGGGCACATATGGTGGAGTGACAGGCGTACTAGCCGGTGTATGTGACCTATGTGACATTCTAGTCGGCGGTCTTGCCGACGGAGGTCTTGCCGACGGCGGGCGGGCAACTAACGGAACCTGTGTTTGGTTTGGTGTGTGCGGTAAACGTTGGCCGCCGTAAGCCTCTAGAATACGTTTGGCCATGACTCGATCTGAAAGTATAACATGATTACAACAACAACAAATCAACACGTCATGCAAGCCAGAGAGAAAAACAGCATGAGCAGTGGTGAGTTATAAAGTCGGGAAAATATTGACCTCCTTATACTAAATCTGTTTCTGAGTAAAATGAAAACAGTCTGTTATAAATCATCAGTTAGAAGTAAGTTTCGAAATAATTCGAGCTGTCCAGTGTGAACATTATCCATTCAAATTTATTTGTAAAGAAAACCCAATCGAACCCGCTTCCTGGAACTAACCATTATCACTGTCGTATGGGGAAACGTGGTCGAGATGATGATCATAAGTTGGCAGACAGACACACAGAAACACAGACAGATACCTTTATCACTAGGTCACTGATCACTTAATTCGAATTGTTTTACATCTTCTAAAGAAACTTCACATTTTGTGTTCACGATAGGTGTCATTTGATTTAATTTCGTGCTTTAATTGCTTTATTAACAAAAGTTAAATACATTACACAGATCTACCTAAGGTATGTCCTTGATTTTCATGAGGTAAGTAAGGTCAATATTTTCCAGTCATGTGTCAATAGTTAAAACGGCAGAAAGAAAACATGTTTAACAGTAAGTATGAAATATTTACATTCACAAGAAAGAACTGCTGTTATGATTTAGTTTAATATGGTACAACGCATGCATTTAATGTTGATAAAAAACTTTGAATTGAAAAGTGCATTGTGCACTTACTTACATATATATGCTCCTTCTTCATGACACTTTAGGAATGAATGACCATTTAGTAAATTATGTGCGTGCTTAAAAATGACATTATACAGCAAAAGCATTACAATATTTAGTAAAATTAAAAAATGATAAACACATAATTTGCTGAATTACCTTCACCGGAAGCAGTCTCGTAATATTTTCGGATAGCTTCGGCTCCTAGTTTGTGTCCGACTTCTCGGATTTGTTGAGTAACAGCATCTGAATTGTCATTATAATGGCGGTCATACGTTGTTCGGTTTCGTATATGCTTATGCCGATGTGATGCCGTTGGAACTGAAATAAATTGGATATCAACAAATTCATGAGTTATACATACATTAGATACATGTATATATTGTTGTCATTATACGCCAACAAGTTCTGGCAAGATTTCTTCATCTTTTAGAGTATCACGTGATAAAAGCTCGACCATACGACTTTAAAATTTGAACTTGATCCACCATACTGTCTGCCTTCCGGCGTGAAATAATCAAATAATAAACAATCAATCAATCAATGGTTTGGTAATGGTATGTTCTTGAAACTTGAAAGGGATAATCCAGCTCCCGAACAATTGATGCATAACGGGAAACAATGCTTTCGGTCGATCTTGAGAATGAAAGTGTGATAACTAAAACGCGTACAAAATGTAAGATTTTTTTTTAATAATCTTTATCTCATACTCGTGCAGCTTTTGCGACTCCATTAAAAAAGTATTGCACAGTCGTACTGTATATATTGACGTGACATCATGATTTTGCACTGCACAAAAATTAACATGATGTCTTAAGACAAGACGGAGATGTCTGTACTGGTTACATGGGTATGACTTTAGATTTTCTAAATACGAAATTTATTTAACTGGTAGAATAAAATAAAACTACGCTTCACAAAGGCTCACATAAATAGAGGATATTTGTTTGTTTTGCATGTAAGATTGAAATATAATTTCACTGAGTGAATACCAGATGCAATATTTTCACGAGTGGCGTAGCCACGAGTGAAAATATAATAGCTGGTGTTCACGAATGAAATATATTTCAATCTTATATGTAAAACAAATAAATTTTCTTTTTATTTCATGCTTTTTAAGTTATATTAAGTATTTCTTTACAGTTTTGCCGCGTAACGTCGCACATTTTCCTTTGTGACGTCATTATATCATGACGTCACATCATAAGTTTTGAAATATAGTTCTGTTAAATTACTGTAATTTTGTTTAATTTTTAACATGATAAATGATGACATTGACTTTCTTTTCCTAAATAAGCAAATTTATGTATGACAGCATTTATTTCTGCCTGTTATTCCATTTGGTTATGATTTTCTTTTCATACGCATTCAGATATCTAGTCCGGCTACAGTGAAAATTATATTTTATAAATGCCACTAGTGGTTTATCATAATATAACCATCTGATACATAGAGGATATTGAATGAGTGGAAGTTCAATACTGAATTTATTGCACGAGTTGAATAAAATTATATTATGCGAGCCTCTGGCGAGCATAATATTATTTTATTCAACGAGTGCAATAAATTCAGTAATGAACTTACACGAATTTAATATTCTATTTATCACATACTCAAAATAAAGACCGTTTAAAGTGAAATATGAGTCATTTTCCGTTGATGCGCCTACAGTAGAACGCTAACATTTAGCGCGTCTTTACACTGTGTTTGCAAAACGCTAATGACGTCACGTCAAAATATATGCACGGCCGTGCAATACCATATTTACGGAGTCGCAAAATCGGCACGGGTGTGTGATAAATTGTAATAAAACACTGGAAAGCATGAAATAATATGATTGTATTCAAATCGTTCAATAGTATTGAACATTGTATTGTTCAATATTATCTATATATTTTGCGAAACTGATGAACATGTCTGTATTCTTAACAATAATTTCCTCCGCCGTTTAGAACTGCATGCTTGATATTATCGTTTTGGTGAGCTTATTATAAGGCTAACGTCAATATCACATATGAATTATTTTGAATACATTCGGTCAAATTTGTCACTTGACTTTCATATCCTAGACAAGATCTAAAAGTGTCCTAGTAGATGGACTTATTAAATATATGGAGTATTGATAGCAATGTATCTAGAATGAGGGGAATGCATAGATCTACTGGCAGCAGAGTAATAACAGCAACATACAGAAGGGATCGCGTCCTAGCCAATAATTTAATACATAATGACTTAAAGCGGCAACTGAATATACCCATGTAACCAGTGCAGACCACAATCATCAGACATCACCGTATAGTCTTATCATGGTCTGCACTGCTCGCAGTTCAGTCAGCACATATTCTGAAACTTTCCCTCAACAAGATGAATGGTTTATGTCCGGATTGAAAGTTGGATGAGCCTATTTAAAAGATTTCGCGTGATAAGGGCTAAACTGGATGTAAAGAAGTATGTTCACTTACTAGTTCCACTTGCAGGTATATGTTTCTTCGTATTACTACCGTATCTGTTGGTTGGTACTTGAAGTGATTCTGGATTGGTTTGGTTCTGGTAACAGTATCTCTGAACTGAGTCCAGCGTGTATGGTACGTTCTCTTTCCAGTCTGGCGGCAGCGAATACGCTGACTTAAGATCGAAACCTGATTGTAAGATAATGTATACTTATAAAATTTACAAAGCTGAACAATAGAATAGAGATTATCAGTGATTATCGTCTAAACGCGGTCTAGTACTGTACTATGATTCAAATCCAAAATAACTGTACAAACAAGTGTACATCTGTCATCTGTCAATATAAACCTCAAACAAACCAGGTTTCTGAACAGTGTATTAATATGTTCAGTTGTTTTTTCTCAACAAAATATATCTATATTGGTTGCTGGCAACGAGTAACTTCAATCTACATGGAAACATTAAATTAATCGTTCAATTATACTCCTGCACTGAGGATGTCAATTATTTCTGTGTCATTCTGTTGTGTTGTCAATGACAGTATTGATAAAAGATCAATACACACTTCCCTTAATTACAGACATTGATCATCTGTTAGATATCCAGTGAATCATCCGGGTCAATATCATTTTCTGTACACAAATTGTTAATAAGTAAATTTAAACACTTACCTTGAGGGGAGCCCAGGAAATCGGTTTGATATGTGGACTGGCAAAGTCGTTTATGAACCTGCTTGATTTTGTCATCAGTGAGTTCCTCTGACCAACGCCCACCCTCTGTATTCCTCCAGCCTCCACGAGGAAACTTCCATACTAAAAATGACTGGAAAAGGAGGATGAAGGAAATAGAACATCATTCCAATAACATTGTTTCTTGCATAGCAGACTGGCGTTTCCGTGAGTTTTACCCATGCCTGAATTTTCATCTGGCATAGGGGGTGCCAGATGAGTCGCGTGCCAAACAACAACGTTATTTTAGCGCCATTTATGAATGAACCGCGTTAAAATGACGTCGTTTTGGGAGGGAAATATGCCTTAGGATGACGTCATTTCGCCGTTGTTATTTAAGTTGTAAGTTCATACGCTATTGTAAGAAAATAGTTATGGATGAAATGACTTTTATTTCCATGAACATAAATCATATTAAGGTAAACCATTTTAAATATGAAATAATATGGCAGAATATGCATGAAAAAATATCTTTCATATGTTTGCGGTTCGGATCGGAATATCCGTCCCTCGGGAACCCGCCCATGGGCGGTAACTCGGCAAGCCTCGTTACCGCCCAATGGGAGGGTCCCCTCGGGACGGATATTCCGGTCCGAACCGCAACATATGACAGATATTATTATTACAACAAAACCGATTGCATGAAAGTAAAATTACACTAAACGAAATAATACAGTCATAGAATATGTAGAATATGGCCTCGTGGCCTAATGGATAAGGCGTCTGACTTCGAATCAGAAGATTGCGAGTTCGAGTCTCGTCGGGGTCAATTTTTTTATTCATTTTCATATTTTTTATATTTTAAACTTATCGAGTTGAATTTGAATACTTTAAAAGTGTTTAATGGTAAAAATACATTATTGTTTTCATCCGTTTAAATTTATGTGTACTAGTTACATCCACAAATATTGTAAAAGAATATATACATGATATAGCTTTAAGATTTTTATATATCGTACCTGTGGTGGGTGTGGGTTATTGGCTCTGTTACCGGAACTGGAACCAGGTCTCAGTGGTGTTACAGGTCTCGCTGGCTTGTTTTTAAACTCGGTTTCATAGTGGGTATCTGGCCCAGGGCCCATTTGTGGGGCAAATCCTTGTGACGTCATCGGTCTTTATAAATAAAAAAAATTAATGTTTCAACGAAAAAATCATAGTTACAACAACAGTATTTATATAAAGAAACCAAATGTGTATAAATTTACTTTAACTGGGGGACCATCTCGCTCCTTTCAGAACCATGAAAAAACTTCAACTTGTTCAAAATACTTCAGCCCGTGTGATTAAACGTACATCTAGGAAAGATCATATTACACCAGTGATGAAAGATCTTCATTGGCTGCCAATCGAATATAGAGTGAATTACAAGATCTTATTACATACTTTCAAGTCACTGAAACAACAATCTCCATCATATATGCAGGAAATGATTCAAGTTTATTCCACTTCCCGAAATCTGCGCTCTTCAAATGCACCTGTACGATTAGTGCAACCAAAAACTAAACTGAAATTTGGTGAAAGGAGTTTTTTCGGCATCAGCTCCTAAGCTATGGAATTCACTACCAAGTCATCTAAAAAACTGTAACACAGTAGAAAGTTTCAAAAAACATCTTAAACACACTACTTCAATTTAGCTTATGGAAAATAATCAGTGACTGTTATGAATGAATTTTATAAACAGTGAATACGAAGTATCTGTTATTTGAACATTAGTTTTATTAAAAAGTTTTTTTTTTAAACAAACAATTTTTAAATCAATTTAGTATTTCTATTGTTTTATAACGATGATTTAGCAAGATCTTATCTATTATTATAAATCCATTGCTAGCATTTTTAAGCACAGAATATTTCTCTTTTTTTAAATAAAAAAAAAAAAAAAAAAAAAAAAAAAAAACTAACATTGATTTATCATAATAATTTACATGTGTTATATAATATATGGCTCGTGAATGCAGAGGGGTCAGATTTCAAGAATGTTTAGTGTTAAGGTGTGGGGCGTGGCCCTTTCCTCCTGTGGTGATAATAGTGATGTCATCCTGGGGGTCTGCATGCGCTGTGGGGAGGTATCTGACTCCCTCGGTACTGGACCTTGGTGTAGCAGTACTCATGCTATCCAGGTTCGTTAGGTTCAATATTCTTTTAGTCTGATGTCGCTGTATTCATTCTTTTATCAATCGTTCATATATTTTCTGTTGTAAAGTATGACAACAAAACAATGAAAATCATCAATATGCATTTAAAGTAGCTTTTAATATTTATTTATGAGTTTATGTTAAAAGGCACATTATTTCTTACACATTTATATATTGAAGACAATTTTAATGTATGACATAATATTGTAAAGTGAGTTTTAAGGATCTTTAAGTTATATTGTATTAATATGTAAAAATAATTCCATAATTTATACTTTTAATTAGTTAATGCAAAATATTTTTAATGTTCATAATCCTGTTCATTTATATTGTTTTAGACATATATGATTGATGTAAAGCGCCTTTGGACATTTTAATGAAAAGGGCGCTATATAAATGTGGTATTTATTATTATTTATATTATATTATTATTATTATTTTATTTATTATAATAGATTAACCAGCATGAATTTATGTGGTGGAGATATTCACTCCGGATCACGGCAGTTAGCCATATTTAATTTACCAGATCACAATTCAGCCACCGCATCGCTCCCGGCAGGCTGACAAGTCATTTACCAGTACTGGTTGCCTTCACTTTGACAAGGAACTGGTAGCTTACATGTATACAGTGCGAATGACCGTTGAAATGATTTCGTGATCAGTCACAATGAACGAGTCATTCTATTTACAGTCCAACACTCTACCTAATGAGCCAACCGGACGGATCTTTTTACCAGTATATAATAAACGCCATTATTCCATTGCATTGCCATATATTATTTCATTTTCCTCTATATATTACATTAAAAGTCTAACTACGACCAACTTAAATTTCATTACTAACAGTACATACATTTATGTACTCGTCATAATTTTATAATGATATTTACATATGTATTTTTTTTTAGAAATCTCCAAAAAGATGAGTGGTCAGTATAAAAAGTTAAAAAAGAGTGTAATAACATGACTTACCTTAGAGCGACGGTATCTATAGGTTGTTTAAGGGGGTAGTCTCTGTTATATGATGTTTGATACGGACTGAGAAAATTTTTCGAGTGGTCTGCACCTGAAATATGATATGTTTTAAACACTCTCTAATCTCGAAATCTCATTAATATTCTATTCTTAACAAGTGCAAAATAAACACTTTACCCCTAGCGTGTTTACATGAATAAATTACAACCTGTATTAATTTATACAATCGTTTATTTCACTATAACAAGATCTGAAGGGCTCTACTTTTTAATCTTTGAAACGTTGGGATTTATTACAATTTTATAAGGTTGTGTTGCGAAATCCTTTCTTGAGAAAAATTAATAGATTATCACAGATAAGAAGATTATCGAGCTATTATAAATACTGAAAATAAAACTTAATGTAAACGCCGGGGAGTAAACAAAATATTTACATTAAGAAATATTTTAATTGTTTAAAACTCATAAATCTTGTAACGACAAACAAGTTTCGAATCCAGCTTGTGATTCACACGGATACCTTGTCACACAATATCTTTCATGAATCTTTTATGTTGTAATAAATTGTGCAATGATTATTTACAAATACTTAAACAGAACACAAGTTAGAGTGTGCGTTCTTGTCGCTTTTTTCTCTCTCTCAAATCCCGACAAAAATCATACATTCTAAATCAGTTGGCAGACTGACTCCTGGATAAAACGATTATTAAATTATAGAATAATACAAGCTATGTAGAAGAGGATTATTGTACGTAAGGGGCGCCAATTGAACTTGATATATCCCCTTAAAATATAACGTGAAATATCAAAGCAGCATGGAAATAAATGAAATCATTTTTGAACCACGATTTCAGCATTTGTTACAAATATTTATATTGTTTGATTTAATGCTGAGATGACGTTATTATTGAATAGTCACGATATATTGTAACATTATCTGTTTATTATAACATTATATAGTTGATTTGTACTATAGATACCTCATAACCATCTGATTTATAGATCTAAACAATCAATATTAATATCATTAAATGATATATTAATTAAATAAATACAATCGATGCTCTAATGTAATTATTGGCGATTGCATAAGATTATTGGAAGACATGCATATTTAAGTAGAATATACATTAATACTTCATGAAGCTAAATGTTTATCAGATTTTTTACAATAATAAAAGCAACTTGAATGATAAAATAACGTATATTTTATGTTTATTGTATACATGCAGTTTGCTTTATGGATTGTTAAATCGCAAATATAGTACTTTAAAATACATTATATTATACCTGTTTTGAAACCATCCATTATTTACTATATGTAATTAACACGACATTTATAATCATTGCCATATGAAATATTGTTTTAAATACATTCTAAAATACATGGTCAATTCAATAACTATTGTAATTGAAAAAATTATTATTCATACAATACGATTAGGATCTATTCTAAAGTTCTATTGTAAACATATAGTTTATATTATACAGGTCTTTAATCTATAATCGTTTAGTGTATAGCGCTCTAATGAAAACTTAAACAAATATTTTGTTTCGTTGTCGTTTAAATATATACGGTTTAAGTGTCGTCTGGTTTAATAGAAATGGTGTCTTACCAAGCATTGGGGCGGCTGTATATGGGCGTTTCACCGTACTCCGTTGAACAGTGTCTCCTAAACTTATAGAATTTAATAATTCCAAACATTTTGCTTTGTCGTTAAATGAATCTGTCTTTTCATAGAATTTTCGTAAGTCTTCAGAGAGCCCTGGCCCTATGGTGTCCTCACCGAGCTAAAACAGAATCAATACGGTAAAAACCCCTTGGTCGTTTAAACGATAATTTCCACGCGGATATCATTTCATGATATTAAAATATATTTATTTCTTACCCTCGTTTCCGTATTTAACATTGTGTAATTTACAGGACCTGACATAACTGCAGCTGTCGCCATTTTTATTTTAACCCCTGACCTTTTATTTACCGATAGTTTGATTGGTTATTTTGATGCACGTGACTGCACATGTAGTTTACAGTTGTCAAGCAGGTTGTTAACGTAGAGCTATCGACTTTTGATAAAGACGCTAACATAAACGTATTTCAATAAACCCATATCGAGTTAATGTTAGCAGATGACATGTCTTAAATAATTAAGCGTTTTATAGTTGTCGCTTTCATATCAAACACAATAGTATGGCATTCAATACCATCTACTAACTCTTTGTATATGAAATAGATTTCTTAATCTTTGAAACGTCGCTGTATGACACGGAATGTTTATTAATTTCTGAATTTGCGTGATTTCAGATTTGAGAGAAATAAAGATATAGAATCTTGTTTCATTGCGACGGTTTTAATAAAAACAATGAATGACTCAACTCAACAATAAAGTTGTTTTGTATTTTATTACAAATCACTGAAAGACGTTAGTTCTAATTGAAAGGTCTACGGTTCAGCAGCCGCCCCAGATTCACACTTTTAAAATTTACTTTCAAGACAATGATTTTCCCCCCTAACCTTTCTTTTGCCTAGATAACATTTTATAAAGTTTAACTCATTATAGATCAATTGCTTAATAAAAAACGATTTATTTACATAGAGATAATTAATTGTTGAAACCGACAACAACCGGTTTTAAACATAACAAGATGTACAAGAAGAGCACTCAGCTAGTTTAATGGTAATATGAGTAGTGAATTAGATATACATAAAAGTGTGCACTATACTTACAAAAATTGATTTAAATCACTCTGTATATTGCATCGCTTAAAATCCAAAAGGTAGCGTGGCCGAGCGGTCTAAGGCGCTGGTTTTAGGCACCAGTCTCTTCGGAGGCGTGGGTTCGAATCCCACCGCTGCCAATTATTTTTTCTTTTTTTTGTGTGTAATTTTTTTTTTACATTTCATATCTGTATTAATACCGTTATAATGTAAATTCAAGAGCAATTGCTTACCTCAAATGTACTGATGTTATTCAAATGAAATGTTTTGACACACAAACATATTAAAAAAATCAAATGGTTTCAATAATATATAATTTTTAAAAAAAATCAGATATTTAGTTTATAAATATCAATAAATGTTGAATGTCTTATTGCCGTGACTCCGAGATTAATTTACCTCACAGAATATGGGTTGAAACAGCACAATTGTATTCCTATCTATGATTTTACTTTCTATAAGACAAAATGGAACGTATTTCAACATACAAATGAATCTTAAGATAAGCTCTTGAAAAATGCAAATTGCAGAACGGCTTACCTCAAATTGGTTTAATACCGACACATCTAATTAATGTTCAGTCATTCAAGTAAATTCGCAATCCGACTTCCGAAATGTCTATACGTTAACTGTAGGATTCGTTTTAACTACTTTACTATTCATGTTGCTAGGGAATATATTTCCAACAAAGGATTAATTAATTCTTGCTTCATTAAATAATCATGACAGCAAATGCTTAGATAGATACGAAATGATTCTCCAGGACCGGCTGTATAACTACTAGATTGGTCTATATGCCTCGACACTAGTTGCAATATAGGGCTGAAACATATTTGCAAATGGAGATTGAAATTTTAACAATATTTATAATCTTACTTCATACATGCGCTGCTCTCTGCCCCAGTAATAACTGTCCACGACGCCGTCTTTTCTCCTACTCGGGCTTAGCAACATGAACGTCAAATGTTTTTAATTTAGCGATGTCAACAATGGTGTTACGTCACAAATGCGCCAAACTTAAGACGTCAGTATACACGACGTCATTAACGTTCAATTTGATACAATATTGAATAAGTGTAAGTTTAAAGCTGCATTTTATAAATTTCATAAAACAGAAACAGATACATTTCGTTAATAAAATGTGTTTCATATCGAGTCCCCAAAACAAAACAAAAACATAGTCTTTAAGTAGCAATCCGAATCCAACGGTATATAACGGATGTTTTCATACAAATGTCATGCAAATTTAATCTTCTTTCATTAGCTGAATACTCTTTGCCGCATGCACCGTGAAGGAATAATGGCAACTGATTGCTAGCACACCCTTATTAGATGGGGGAAATCAGGCATTTCACTGTGGTGTTTCGATCCCTGAGCGCATACACGGGCTACTTATAGGCCTCGTTTGCATGTTAAAATTCGTATACGAACTTTAGTGTTAACATGGAATTCTCCTTTTAAAATCATCACTTACGTTCAATATTTGATTAGATTTTCAACATTACCGTTATAAAGGTTAATGGAACTGTAGAATGCTTGTTTTCTAGTTCTACGGCGAAATATATTTACTCATCACAAGGCCGTGCCGATTTTGCGACTCCTTAAAAATGGTATTGCACGGCCGTGCATATATTTTGACGTGGCATCTTTTTTTTGTAATACAAACATAGTGTGATGTTTGCGTTACATCATATGCGTGTCAGTGAAAAAATGATTCTTTGCACTTTTAAATGTCTTTATTTTGGGTATGTGATAAAAAGAAATTATATTCGTGTACGTTCATTACTGAATTTATTAAACTCGTTGAATAAAATAATATTTGCTCGACAGAGGCTCGCATATTTTTTTTTTTGAAGCCCAAGAGGTAACTCCGTTTATTGTCCCTTTAATAGGTAAAATATCCACTATTTTACCTTACAATTTATTATAATGTTACAAAAAAACATAAGGGCATTTATATCATATGTTATTTTATAATATATACAATACACAGAAGATATATGTTCTCTTGGGATTCAGAGTATTTCATTTCCACAAAAATACTAACTTCAAAAATATATTGATTTATTTTTTAAGAAGGGAAATAACTGATACAAGGCTAAAATTAAACATTTTAGTAGTTTTCCCCCTTGAACTGAATTATATCACGATATTATCAATTTGGACCATCAACATTATCTTACACGGTTACGTACGTTAATCACTTCTGGTTACCAGCAGAGTAAGGGCAATTGTTCAGCAAATGTAAACATATAATATATGAGCCGTGTCACGACAAAACCAACATAGTGCGTTTGCGACCAGCATGGATCCATACCAGCCTGCGCATCCGCGCAGTCTGATCAGGATCCATGCTGTTCGCTTATCAACTCTATTACAAGTAGAGAAACTGATCGCGAACAGCATGGATCCTGATCAGACTGCGTGGATGCGCAGGCTGGTCTGGATCCATGCGCTGGTCGGAAACTCAATATGTTGGTTTTGTCGTGACGCGGCTCATATCATTAATATTAATTTCACAATGTTGTTTATAGATCAAACATTTGAAGGACAAATTTGCAACCTTAATCTCCATAAAGAAACAAACATAAAGCCTCGGATGATTTTGTTATATACTGGCATCTTATTCTAATATACATGTGCGAAATAGTGCTGAGACCAATGGTACATTATTGGTTACCGTGATTTAATTGTTAGAACTCATGACTCTGCGAACTGGGCGGGCCCTATTCTTCTTTTAGGGAGGAAATATGAAGGAAAACAACATTGAAGCAGGTAAACATAGGTAAGTTATTTCTCTATGATTTTATAAAAATGACTTAAAAACGTTTCTAGTGTTTTGTGTTAATTATTTTGACTTATTGACTGCGGGAAATAGAGAATAGCAGTATCTGATCTTACAAAAAAGTATAAGGCAAGTCAAGGACTGTTCGATTCAAAGAGTATCAGTTAAATAGTTTTGAACTAGTAAAAGAAAAAAAAATATTCTTTTCTTTTCAGTTCATTTCATTTTTTATTGATGAGGTGCCCGATAAAGCTGAGGGTAACTGATAAAGGTAAATTAATCCAATAAGACCAAATTGCACAAAACAATATGTTTTAAGGATAGGGACATTTAAGAGAAGCAACTAAAATTCAAAGAGTTTTGTATTTTTTATTTCAAAGCATCTAAACATCATTAATTTTGCTAATTCCTTTTAGTAAAACTTAATTACTTATTAAAACACCTTGTTAATAAACACCCTGCACATAAGCAGAACAAGCGAAGCTAAATGATATACATGTACACATTTCAACTAAACAATAGAATTAGCGTCTAGTACAAAACTTAAAATATTTAAACAAGCATAAAATGCCACTAAGTAAATGAGAACAGTTTTATGTTTGATGATCATGATATAAACAGGGATACTTCTAGAAATGTTTCATTACACGGCAAGCTTCACATGGAGGTATATGTTAAAATGTTAAGACTGAAAGCAAGCTATACGTGTGAAAATAAAATACACTAAAGTTACAAACTTAAGTCAAACTATTTAATACTATGAAATTATGCAAATATCTTACTAGTGCCGGGATAATAGGATACAACCATCCCCTCCACATGAACATGCACACAGCATTCCTCCACCACATCTCCTCACACCACCTCTATTAAAACACACACACGCACGCACACTCACGTACACACACATACACACACACACACACACACACACACACACACACACATCTTTACATTTCATATACTGACCATAGGACCACCGGATTTCTTTTTCTTTCATTTTTTGGGAAACAAATTATTACCTACATCAGAACACTTTGACATAATAATGTTTAACTAAGAGAAAATAAGAGAAAATGACAAAAACACAGGTCATATTTTGGAAATGTTTTGTTCTGATGTTTGATATATCTATATTAATAATAAATCATCATCGTTCATTAAAATATCATCTACATGTTTATTATTAGTTAATTTTTATTAGAGTCTCAACAATGTATACATTTAATATACATACACAATACAATATAAATGCACATTGCCAATCTATAAGATTTTTAAGAGACTAAAATGATGACTTACTATTTACATATAAAATCTAAAATACCCTAGCTTATTTGGAACCCGAGTTGAGAACATGTTTTAAATAAATCTTCTGAAGTAAATTAAGATACTGGGGTATCAAATACCTTAAATATTCCATACAGGAATTAATATTATAGTCATATTTAATCAAACCAGAATTAGAAGATTAGTAAAGGTATTTTCAAGATATAATTTTTACTAATTAACAATCAATAACTATGGTGATTCTGGCCCAGAATGAAAACAAACTGCCATAAAGATACATTAAAAATGGCGCCTATGTTATTTCTAAGGAGATACGCAAAATTGTTTTACGTTTTTACTAATCTGGTGTATCAAAATAAATTTTCTGTTCTGTTCTGTTATGTTCTGTATCATCCACGATACAAACACTTAATGATGCACACCCATCTCATTATAATAATTTAGGAGATAATCATGAGTTCTCTCCCTTTAATTGGAAGGATTGGTAACCTTTTCGAATTTTTTAAAGGACAGTGCATGCAATACAATGTTTATGTCTGCTGTACATACATGTTTACTAAAGCAGGATATATAGAAAACTTGGTAGAGGAAACACATTAATCTACGTTATATTACCATATAAAATTGACACAAACGGTAAGTGATAAAATTACTCAAGCATTAATTAAACATGATAATTACTAAGCATAATAACCTTCAATTATATGTACAAAAATATATCATATAAAACCTAAAAGTACTTTTATGGAAAAAATAAGCTAATATAAAGAAACCTTAATATCACATAAAATCTAAAACAGTTTCAAGTATGTTGTGAAATGTTACACACATAATGTCATTATAGTTGACGTCGTAATACACAACAACAACAACTTAAACAACTTAAACAACTTAAACAAACAAAAACAATTTTGCAAGCCACATACATTATATAATATTGTAATAACTTTATAAAGCTTTGTATTTTGATACGAGCAACGAAGTTCAAATCGTGCAATCACGAAGTAAAATTTTTAATTCTCGAAGTTGAAATCGTGAAGTCAAAGTGTAATTTCAAGTAAAATTTGCGAAGTAGAAATCTTGAACTTGCCAAGTAGAAATCGTGAACTCGCAAAGAAGAAATCGTGAACTCGCGAAGTTGAAAGTATGAACTCATTAAGATCAACTCGAGAATTCAAGAAGTTAAAATGTCCCAACCGGTATTTTGTACATATATGACTACATTACGTTTGCAAAAGAGGACACGCGGTTCCGGTTTCCGAGTACAACGAAATGTACAGCTAAGATGGAAACAAACGGATATAAAATAGTCCGATACTTCCATATATGCGGTGTCTGAACTGTGCTCTGATAAATTCAATGTGGCTTACTGCTCTGATCCGGAGTGAAAATTATCAACGCCACCACCACTGAATAGTTCTAACCAACTCACTATCGGTACATGCAAGTCACAGAGAGGTACAGGGCATTGCCAAAATATTGGAAGAACTCGGGGTGGTGAAAATAGCGCATCATGCCAGCTTAAACTGTTACCTACCAGGTATGGTTATACAATTTCATATGATATCTAAACAAATAATTTATATTATGCGTGTCGGTGAAATACTAAAATATGTCGATGAGATAAAAATCATATCACACGGTTCAAAACTAATTCCCGTCCTGTTCATTAAAATATATAGCAAAATACAAAACAAAACGGAAAAAGATTTTTATGACTCCATCGGTACGCAATGGCGTCGTCATTATACACCTTATGTTGCAAATTCTGACTAGCCATGAGAGACAAAGATATTGAATGCGAAGTAAGAGTAAAAGAAAAATGTTTATCTTGACAAATATCTCATATTGAAATGCCAGTTTTGATATTTGAGCTTAGAAAATATTAAAATTCTCATTCTTTAGTTAAATAAATTATATTTATTCACTCGAAACAAAGGCATGTTCTCTTTTTTCACGTATTTACAAACGAGATTTGTCGTGATAATCAATCGATATATAAATTTACAACATGCCTTCGTCTTACATGTTTATTTAAACGTTTAACTTATTTAAGATAACTTGTATTCACAGATTTTTAGTTATGTTTCTGTATGTTTTAAACCCATAGACAGTTTGTCTTGTATATCAGTACACAATATATCACAGTGATTATTATAATCCATTTGTAAAGTTAACACGTGTACTATTTAAAGTGATGTCCTATCCAAGAACAAAGCTGTTTTCCTTGGGTCCCGGAGCAAGGCTTTTGCTGAGGGGCGGGAGCTGGTTGGCCTTTCCTTCAGCCGGGGGCAAGTCCATGTCGAATATATTTGTTTGAACAACTTCTCCAGGTAGAGCGTCTTTTGTAGTGATTGGCTCTACGATTGTATTTGATCTGCTCCACAACTTCCTGTTGGTTACGCTCGCGCTGCCTGGAACGCTCGAACTTCCTGACTTCTTAACAAAGCAGACGAGAAAGATAACAATAACTATAATCAGATTGACTCCTCCAAGCACACTGCCAACAATAATCCATTTGTAGTCCTTCGAACTCTCAGCTGTAAATATATAGATCATCTGATAAAAGTTTCAGTTTTAAATCACATAATAGATAATTGTTCTAGTGACTAATTATAAGAAAATGTCGTTTTAAATGTTTACTGTTGGCCATCGTTTCAATTGTGATATTGTGATTGGATTATGTTATGGTGTACTTGATGTTTTTATCCTGAATAAACTTGATTGTCTGTTCTGTATCTTAGCTAACTTAGCGTCTTTTTAAATTTTTAATAAATAAAGGTGGTAGATGTCATTTTCTTAAGATTTATTCCTCAGTAATTTATAAAAAAATAAAAATAAAAAACACGGTATATACTATCATATTCTAAAGTATGTAAGATTTTGTTTTGTTCGGGCACTAAAAATAGAGTGTATTAAACATGTTAAATGAGTGTAGGTGTAATACTAAATTTATTGAACGAGTTGAATAAAATTATGCGAGCCTCTCGCGAATATTATATTATTTCATTCAACGACTTCAATAAATTTAGTAATTAACCTACACGAATAAAATATTCTACTTATCACATAACCAGCATAAGAAATATTTACAATAAAAACAATCTTATTTTCATTTTCTCGCCTATAGTGTTACGCTAACATTAAGCGCGTCTTTACGCTATGTTTGTATCACGCTAATGACGTCACGTCAAAAATATGCACGGCCGTGCAATACCATATTTACGGAGTCGCAAAATCGGTACAGGTGTATGATAAATTGTTTTAGTTGCTTGGTAAGATAATTTTCTTTTTACTTAAATTTTGAAACACTCAGCTCTGTCCGATTGAAACCTACTTCCATCAAAATGATTTTGAAAGAATATGAGAATATGTTTGCTGTATAAATCAGCCCCTGTATTTATACGACGTAAATATCGTTTTCACATTTTAGAATGTGGTATCTTACTTGATGCCTGTGTGACAACGCTCGTGACGTCATTCGTTATTGTCGTGGTGGATGTGGTCGTTGTGGTGGATGTGGTGGATGTGGTAGTAGGTCCGCCGTCTGCTTCTACTGTCATAGAGAAGCCTTTAAACTGTGTCGCAGCATCTGATATAAATACAATGTACACTGTGTCACCTGTTGACTCAAACGTTGGTGTGGGCGTGGTCAAACAGCAAAATTCGCCAAGTTTCGTCGCCGAACTGGAATTTCCTATCAAAAACATTGTAATAAAAGTTTCGTTATACAGCGTATACTGTATAATATTACATGGAAGTCAAAAACAAATTTATCAAGTTGAATAACTTAATTTTGTGACAGCCGGTGTGAACAGTTTAGAGAGTGAAATACTTTTTTTACTTAAGCTAGACTTTGTACGTGACCTACGTTCCTGTATAATTTTCCAGCTCAGTTCACTGATTTTCTTGTAATTCCAGATTTGATTTTTTTTCTAAGTTAAAAGTTACTACAAAATGTAATTAATTTAATCCGACTTGTGGATTTATAATCATTGTGTAAGTAGTAGACTAACCAAGACACTGTCGGGAAACTCACCATCATATACTGTACCGTAATCGTGACATATAACCTTTCCCTTATCTTCAAAACCCTCCAATTCACAGTCTGTTACTTTTAACACAAGTGTATGGTTTGTTAAATTAGTAGAAACAATGTAGTCGTAATTAACATTTCTGAAACAATAAAACAAAGAATGATCATGATTCATCAAACTATTTGCCAAGATGTCACACGGTGAGAAATGTGCAGCCTAATTGGGACTCGAACCCGAGACCCTCGGAATACCGTACCGCGGCTCTACCGACTAAGCTATCCGGTCGCTTCCTAAATAGTCAACAGTTCTGAACCGTGACACAGACATATATAATCATATACTTTAATATGATTTAACTTATATTTTAGGAAATTAAGTGTTTTGCTATACTGTTTCCGTTCGTAAAACTTCAGTAGTTAAATTTAATGAAGACACGTGTTTCTACTGGATTTCTGTAATAAAGTAAATATGCAAAGTAGAACACCCTACTATATAAGGTAATGAGTAATTAAGAAAATCTTACGCTTCATAAGCACCATCCGTATATCCTGGTGAATTTATGGTGACAGCGTTATCAAGAACATTAACAGTCTCGTTCTGTCCTGAAAACATAACATTGTGCACATGAAAAGTGTTATAATAAATGAGCCGCGCCATGACAAAACCAACATAATTGGTTTGCGACCAGCATGGGTCCAGACCAGCCTGCGCATCCGCGCATTCTGATCAGGATCCATGCTTTCCACTATCAGTTTCTCTACTTGCTATAGCTTGCTATAGGGTTTGTAAGCGAACAGCATGTCTCCTGATCAGACTGCGCGTATGCGCAGGCTGGTCTGGATCCATGCTGGTTGCAAATGCATTATGTTTGTTTTGCCATGACGCGGCTCAGATGTTGAACATATTTGAATAGTTAGTTACATCGTATGTTTTAGAATGTTAATTCCAATTCTATGAATGCTAAAATAAAAAAGCCTGTTCGAAGTAATTGTTTCGAAAATTAATTATCGAATTTCGTTTTAATTAAGCGACATATAAAGGTATTGTGATGCGAAATGTAACGTAGACTCGGACACGACGTATTTATTGCTACGAGTACTCCCATTTTGAACATTTTTTATTTATTTATTTTTTTTTCTTTATTCATTTTTTATTTTGAGTTTGGTTTAACGCCGCACTAACACAGTAAATATGGTCATATACTGTTTATATGGCCAGCTTAAATGTCAGAGAGAGACCTAAGATGTCTAAACTGGCACCCGAGTAGAACCACCAACGTTCCATAAGCTATCTGGACAGCTTTCTCACATGAAGAATTCGAATACGCTAGCGCAGCTATGTAACACCCTACTTTGGGGTCAAACGCACTTTGGGGTCCGACCCCAAAGTGCGTTAAACTTCGCACCGCACTTTGGGGTCAAACGCACTTTGGGATCAAAATCGAGAAATTGACCCCAAAGTGCGTTAATATGCTACATATCAACGCACTTTGGGTTCAAGAGGTCTAAAGGTGTCATCTGAGTTCTGCTTAAATACTGAGTACTGACTTATTTTCTATCTGCGACATTGGAATATTTGAGTTGGAGTTCAAGATGGCGGTCAATACTTTATGATGCTTTTAAGTGATAAAAGTTTCATTAATGTTACCACTTGAAATATATAAAAATTGTGTTCATATAACAAAATTATGGTGGCATAAAAGTGACAGTTGCATTTTTTTGTTTTTAGTTTTGTATACATGTTTTATTTTAGTTTTGCATACATATTTTTTCAGTTTTGCATCCATATTTTATTTTTGTTTTTCGCACATATGTTATATTTGTTTTTCATACATATTTTAGCCAATCAAAACAGCCTTCAAATCTCAGCCCATAGTTGAGTATAAAACTAGCAGAGTGGTTAGGTCACATTTGGGCCCATTTTTGGAATCGGCCCAGTCGTTTTCGGCCGGGCAAGTCTGGTTTCGGCAGACCCTTTTCGGCCTATTTTTTTTTATATTATATGTATTTATTTAATTATTGTTTTTTTTATTATATCAGTTATTATTCCATGAATATGCACCACTCAACCCCACCCCCTAAGTTAAGAATTATGAAACTTAGGTCAATTTCTTAGCACATCCAGATAATGTACAGAACTTTATGCCAGGTGTGCCGGCTCAAGGTCGGGGTCACAGCTACAGGTCAAAGGATAAAGACTTGGGTTTCATATCCGCTCCTTATCTCCGAAACCCCATGAAGGATTTTAGGGCACCTGTGACAAATGTTAACCACAACGAGACCATATGCAGAACCTTTCTTTGGGTTACCGCGGATACTAAAAAATGAAAATGTTGGTATTTGCAAATGGATTTGCAAATGGGGTACTGTAATTTACAGATGGCGAAGTGTTTGAAAATGGTGTTTAACAAATGGTGTAATTATCCAAACCTCTACTTTGCAAATGGCGTCATGTAAAAATATGTACGAAAAAACAAAAATAAAATATGTACAAAAAAACTAAAATAAAATATGTATGCAAACTAAAAAAGAATATGTATGCAAAACTAAAATAAAATATGTATGCAAACTAAAAAAGAATATGTATGCAAAACTAAAATAAAATATGTATGCAAACTAAAAAAGAATATGTATGCAAAACTAAAAAAAGTATGTATTCAAAACCACATGTAAAAAAATATCTACGACAAACAAACAAAAAAATGTACGAAAAAAAAAGTATAAAAAAAACAAATGTCAATTTTATGCCACCGTTCAAAATACTCTTGTACAGAAATTGTGTATTCCTAGAAGTAAAAGATGATGCGAAAAGTATCCCGTTCTGTCGGTCATTTACTTGATAACTTTAGGTGCCATATTGAGCCCCATTTTAAATATGTTGGAAATGAAAAAAAAATGCAGTTAATGTCTTTTTCCAAAGAACTATAAATATACTCTATTGCAATGTTCTGGTGAAAATTTTTTTCGATCTATAAATAGTGATTTTTACAAAAAACATTATTAAGCTTATCAACAAACTTAAGGGTTTTTGTAAGCTCCGTAACAACCGTTCGCCAGAGGCTTTTTTATGGGAAATCTTACATATTTCTTAAGAAAGAGCAAACATGAATTTTATAATGTTAAAATAATGGTATCTGAGAAATGTGAGATGCTTGTTATCTGAATAAAGTAGCGTTAACTGTGATATTATTCGTCATAAAAGAAACGAACACTGTAGTATTTGACTTCCATATAAAATACTAATTCACTATAACTGTACTCATTGCCAAAAAGCAACAGATGAAAAAGATGGTTCAGGTAAATGGCCAATGTGTTTTTTTTTTTGATAATATAGAAGAACATCAAAATAAAAAAAGCCTTTAAGAAAAACAAATAAAAGCATAATGTGCCTTTAAAACGTTATTTTTAACCCTCGGGGGAACAATATCCCACAATCCCCTCTATACCCCCAAAGAGAATTTTACATTATTCTGAAGCTCCGCTCTTAATGTGCGACTACTTAAATAGTTGATATTTTTAGTTCTGCCTGTACGGACTACTATTTAAAGCCGCATCTACACCTAGTCAAGTTTCTTATATGTCACATTTAGCTAAATAAATGGCCCTTTCGACATATTATCAGGCACATTTTTTACTGAAATGTCTTACTAAGATTTCCCAGAATTTATACCTTTGTCTATGCTAAGACTATCATATTTCTTAAAAATGTGTAAATAAAAAACGGGAAAATAATGCATTTAGCTGAAAACAATGGAGTTAATAAAAGGTGTACATTCTTTTAAAATAAAAGGAAAGTTTGAGAAAAAAATATTTTAAGCTTAATAATAGATACAAATTCTTTATTTGGTGAAAGTTCTTCACTTACTAATCAAGATCATTTAAATCCCTATTGATTCTACTATAATTCAGGGCACATGTTTGTGTCTATTTAATGCCTTGATTTTTTTGTTTACCATTGGCTTTGACTACAATATATTATTTAAAACATAATGAACTTTATTTTTCTATGACCCCAAAGTGCGGTCGTTTGCCTGATGTTAAAAAATGCATATGTACCTGTTTAACGCACTTTGGGGTCGAAATTGGACCCCAAAGTGCGTAACGCACTATGGGGTCGGACCCCAAAGTACGTAACGCACTATGGGGTCGGACCCCAAAGTACGTAACGCAAAGTGCGTTTGACCCCAAAGTGCGGTGTTACACAGCTATGTAACACCGCACTTTGGGGTCAAACGCACTTTGGGGTCCAACCCCAAAGTGCGTTAAACTTCGCACCGCACTTTGGGGTCCAACGCACTTTGGGGTTCAAATCGAGAACTTGACCCCAAAGTGCGTTAATATGCTACATATCAACGCACTTTGGGTTTAAGAGGTCTAAAGGTGTCATCTGAGTTCTGCTTAAATACTGAGTACTGGCTAATTTTCTATCTGCGACATTGGAATATTTGAGGTGGAGTTCAAGATGGCGGTCAATACTTCATGATGCTTAAGTGATAAAAGTTTCATTAATTTTACCACTTGAAATATCTAAAAATTGTGTTCATATAACAAAATTACGGTGGCATAAAAGTGACATTTGCATTTTTTTTGTTTTTAGTTTTGTATACAAATTTTTTAGTTTTGCATACATATTTTTTCAGTTTTGCATACATATTTTTTTAAGTTTTGCATTCATATTTTATTTTTGTTTTTCGTACATATTTAATTTTGTTTTTCATACATATTTTAGCCAATCAAAACAGCCTTCAAATCTCATAACAGCCCATAGGTGAGTATAAAACTAGCACAGTGGTTTGGTCACATTTCGGCCCATTTTTGGAATCGGCCCAGTCGTTTTCGGCCGTGCAAGTCTGGTTTCGGCCGACCCTTTTCGACCCATTTTTTATATTATTTGATTTTATATAATTATTGTTTTTTATTATTATATACTATTATATAAGTGTCTATTTGGAAAGGGCTGTTGATTGGTGATCAGTTATTATTCCATGAATATGCACCACTCAACCCCACCCCCTGAGAATTGAGAATTATGAAACTTAGGTCAATTCTTTAGCACATCTAGATAATGTGCAGAACTTATATGCCAGGTGTGCCGGCTCAAGGTCGGGGTCACACCTTCAGGTCAAAGGATAAAGACTTGGGTTTCATGTCCGCTCCTTATCTCCGAAACCCCATGAAGGATTTTAAGGCACCTTGTGACAAATGTTAACCACATCCTGACCATATGCAGAACCTTTCTTTGGATTACCGCGGACTATATATTTATATATATATATATATATATATATATATATATATATATATATATATAATATATTATATATATATATATACGAAAGTGTTGTTATTTTTTTGATACCTCCAAAAATGAAAATGTTGGTATTTGAAAATGGCATTTGCAAATGGGGTACTGTAATTTACAGATGGCGAAGTGTTTGAAAATGGTGTTTTACAAATGGTGTAATTATCCAAACCTCTACTTTGCAAATGGCGTCATGTAAAAATATGTACGAAAAAACAAAAATAAAATATGTACAAAAAAACTAAAATAAAATATGTATGCAAACTAAAAAAGAATATGTATGCAAAACTAAAAAAAGTATGTATTCAAAACTAAAAAAAATATGTACGACAAACAAACAAAAAATATGTACGAACAACAAAAAAGTATCAAAAAAAATTACATATGTCACTTTTATGCCACCGTTCAAAATACTCTAGTACAGAAATTGTGTATTCCTAGAATTAAAAGATGCTGCGATCTTATCATTTACTTGATAACTTTTGGTGCCATATTGAGCCCCATTTTAAATATGTTGGAAATGAAATAAAATGCAGTTAATATTTTTTTCCAAAGAACTATAAATATACTCTATTGCAATGTTCTGGTGAAACATCAAGTTTTTCGATCGGACTATAAATAGTGATTTTTACAAATACATTATTAAGCTTATCAACAAACTTAAGGGTTTTTGTAAGCTCCGTGACAACCGTTCGCCAGATACTTTTTTATTGGAAATCTTACATACTTCTTTAGAAACAGCAAACATGAATTTTATAATGGTAAAATAATGGTATCTGAGAAATGTAAGATGCTTGTCACCTGAATAAAGTAGCGATAAATGTGAAATTATTTGTCATAAAAGAAGTCAAAACACTGTAGTATTTAACTTTCATATAAAATACTAATTCACTATAACTGTACTCATCATTGCCAAAAAGCAACAGATGAAAAAGATGGTTCAGGTAATTGGCCAATGTGTATTTTTTGGATAATATAGAAGAACATCAAAATAAAAAAGCTTTTAAGAAAATCAAATAAAAGCATTATGGGCCTTTAAAACGTTATTTTTAACACTCGGGCGGATCGATACCCCACAATCCCCTTTATACCCCCAGTGAGAATTTTACATTATTCTGAAGCTCCGCTCTTAATGTGCGACTACTTAAATAGTTGATATTTTAGTACTGCCTGTACGGACTACTACTTAAAGCCGCATCTACACCTAGTCAAGTTTCTTATATGTCACATTTAGCTGAATTAATGGCTCTTTCAACATATTATCAGGCACATTTGTTACTGAATGTCTAAGATTTCCCAGAATTTATACCTTTGTCTATGCTAAGACTATCATATTTCTATAAAATGTGTAAATAAAAACGGGAAAATAATGCATTTAGCTAAAAACAATGGATTTAATGAAAGGTGTACATTCTTTTAAAATAAATGGAAAATTTGAGAAAAAATATTTTAAGCTTAATAATTGATACAAATTCTTTATTTGGTGATTTATTTGGTGACAGTTCTTCACTTACTAATCAAGACCATTTAAATCCCTATTGATTCTACTATTATTCAGGGCACATGTTTGTGTCTATTTAATATCTTGATTGTTTGTTTACCATTGGCTTTGACTACAATATATTATTTAAAACATAATAAACATTAATTTTTTCTGACCCCAAAGTGCGGTCGTTTGCCTGATGTTAAAAAATGCATATGTACCTGTTTAACGCACTTTGGGGTCGAAATTGGACCCCAAAGTGCGTAACGCACTCTGGGGTCGAACCCCAAAGTACGTAACGCACTTTGGGGTCGGACCCCAAAGTGCGTTTGACCCCAAAGTGCGGTGTTACACAGCTATAACCTATAGCGGCGAGAGACAAGTGGGTTTGAAGACAACGACCTAAACCAATCTGCCGCGGCGCCCGTATGAAATTCCTATTTGATACATATTTATGATCCTCCGCTGCAGTCCAATAAATGTATTGTTTTATTAACGACTTACCTTCGTTCGTAAAAAAATCTTTACTTATCTTCTTATTTCATGTCAGATGTTTAAAATGTTTCAAAATATTTTTTCTTCTAAGCGCAAAACTCATTTATTGTAATAGAAGCCGCGGCATGACAAAACCAACATAGTGGGTTTGCGACCAGCATGGATCCAGACCAGCCTGCGCATCCGCGCTGTCTGATCAGGATCCATGCTGTTCGCTGTCAGTTTCTCTACTTGTAATAGAGTTGGTAAGCGAACAGCATGGATTCTGATCAGACTGCGCGGATGCGCAGGCTGGTCTGGATCCATGCTGGTCGCAAACGCACTATGTTGCTTTTGTCATGAAACGGCTCATATGTGCATAAAATTACCTTTCTATGTTAAAAGTTTTGTTTTTTTCTATGCAAATTAATTGCTATATAGTAAGTTTTGATAGCAGAAAACTTTATCTCAAAACGTTAAATACCGAATATTTTAATTTTTGAAACAATATAGTTTTGCGATTTTATCACTTATTTGTTTATAAAATATTCTAAATTTTCTAATGTTTAAGACCAAAATATATGAAAACCTCTATGGAAAAGGATCTAATTTATTAATTTAGTTTTAACTTTTTATAAAGGCGTCATCTTAATGCTTTAAAAAGCGTCAAGTTGGATACATTTCCCTCTTTTAAATCAAATACATTTCGGACTTACCTCTTACATGTGTTACCATCAAGAAAACTACCAACAAACTGCAGGCAACATAACGTAATAACTCCATTTGCACGTCCGTCTGTTCTCTAATAAACCAGAATAATGCCACTAAAATCACTTACTCACTAAACCGTAAAAACAAAAATCTTCTTATTCTAAACTGATCAAATATTCTAACACGATTTCAAACAAACCATATTACAATGTTTAACTACCTTTGTAATACAAAACAATATATTCTGAAATTACATTTGGTACCAACAATATTGTGGCAGCGTGGTTTACTCTTTTCAAAATTTGACTATAACACCCTTTTCGATCAATGGCAATCTTTAAATATTTTATATCAAAAGTCATTATTCTAACATTATATCTGTGGTGAAGCTGTCAACCTATTTTTTCCACCGATCTAAATGAATTTACTTTATAAAGGAATTCTGAGGACACGTTAATATTTGATATAATCCTGGTACGGGAACAAAAGAGATAGCCAAAGCCTATTGATAGTTTTGTTTTGGACGATAGAAGATACTTAACGACAGTTGCCAGCTTTAGATTGAAAAAGAATGTATTCTGTTCACGAATGGTGTATTAGTTTTAAACATATTCATTACTCGCCACACGATGACGACATATGACGGCATGATCACATATCTACATGTATCTAAACAATTTAATTAGTCTCAGATAGTTGAAAACCATAACTATATCTTTCATGAATACACTGAAAAGTCTTTTGTTATTTATATAAAATATACGTTCTTGTGCAAGATTTTTCTCATGTTAAGAATCTGTACTTTGAAACAAAATTGATAGTAGTATTTAACACGGATTTAGGCAATAATGAGAAAACAAACTTCAAAAAACACTAACAAAAAATGTGTCAGTTCATTTATCAGTAGATACACAATAATTGTCAAGTTAACAGCTAACTGGTTGGAAAAAAAATATGTAAAATTAAAAAATAAAAGCAACAATTTTACCTAAAGTTATATCGTCATTTATAGAACATAAACATTTCCTTTTCTCTTTGATTTTCAAATTATATCATACGTGTTACTTAAACAATATGTATTCATGAAGAAATAAACACTAATATATACAGATTTCCTGCGTTTAAACAATTTAATGAGGGGTGTTAACACTGTTCAATTCATGATCAAATTGTAGACTGGAAATTTCTTTCTTGTCTGTATATATTTTGCAAAAACTTTGTAAATATTTTTAGTACGTAAGTCTGATCTAGTCTGAGTAACAAAATGTTGTTATTTGGCTTAATTATAATGAAGTATTTAGATAATATTTTCACCCATGTATATATAGAATATATACAAACATTCTTTTTTCATAGAAAAATCGTAAGGACAATTTTGCGTTTCAAAGAAAATGTGTTAAATTTTGACTGCTCTGATATGACACCTTTAATTTCTGACTAACTATGAAGATAGAGAATAATAGGATGGTGCCGTGGATGGAGAAAGTTTATCTGGCGAGGCGGAGGAATTTATTGGGTGAGCCGAAGGCGAACCCAATAAGTTCCGGAGCAGAGCCAAATAAACTTTCTCCATCCACGGCACCAATCTATTATTCTATTTATCCTGTCACCATTCTTTTAAAGAATTTTATTAGGCAAACAAACGTTAATCACACTATCGGAAATGTTTCTATATAAACAAAGAAGGCCCGAAGCTTGCATTATTCTTCAACAATGCACTCGCCGGTCTTAGTATCTCCCTGTGTATTTTCACATTGAGGGCGCCATTTTGTTTGAAAAAATGTGATAAATATAAACAATTTTTTGTCGAATTTTGTTGTGAAAACTATCTAGAATGAAAGAAAATGGTCTAACTAAGAAAATGAATTCGAACACCAATATCTTTTATTCAGTCGTTAACGCTGTACAGACGTTGAAAGTATTGTTTACGTGACGTCACAATGTAGCGCCAAACAGCACGTGCAAACAATCAAATCAAGTACGCTATTCTAATGTCGCAAACAAGTTAAGTTTTACATTTATTTCACTTTTAATAATTTTTATTTCGCTTGAAAAATTATAGAGTGAAATAAAATAAACAAACAATGTTTTATTAACGTTTCCAAAATTCGTTATTCTTCACACAGAAAATTTAGCGACAGTTTTTATATTTTTTCTTGAAAAGTAGTCCGGCAAACATGCATACCACGTGATCAAGTGCCGTAGATCAGTAAAAATATACGGCACCTTGTTATCGGGCCGAAATTGATACAAGTGACAGGATAAATGAACATAAACACATTACGCAATTAACACAACATAACATTACATAACATATCATACATTTCATTAACCATTAAACATATTGTACAATGTTGATAGCCAACATGAAAAAAGATTAATAAAGTATTTCTCAGTACAGTAAAGTTAGTTTAAGTCTTCAGTCTCTAAGAAAGGATAAAACGTTTATTGACACGTTCTTAAGTCAAGTCTTAATGGTGGTCGTACGTCCTAGGACTTAGGATACACTCAGGACTTTTTATGAAACACCCGAAAACTTATTCGTATTGAAATATTTCCATAACGTTACTCCTGACGAACATACATGTTATAAAGTTGTCTATATAAAATTGAAACATACATGTAGACATTCAACCTTCACAATATGGCTAATATACATTTACTTTAATCCTACTTTAAATGAAAGGAGAATCCAATAAAATTTTCGTCCCAAACGCCAATAATGCAGAAAGTATTAGGTTTTCCTTCCTACCTTTATTCAATTACATGTACTTTATTGTGATGAAGATTGAGTATCGTTTAAGCTGTTGCTAGGGGCGTGAAGGATGGTGTACCTTACAATAGCTAATATGGACAGACGTTATCAACGCAATCAAACTGGGTCTGTCATTTTTATCTTAAGAATTTTGCTTTTTTTATTGCTCCTGAGGAATTTAGTTTTACCAAGTTTCTTTTACCACGACAATTCACTGGTGCCTTTATACTTAGTTTTAATTTCTTGACTTTGAAATACGTGGCAAGTCAATTGTAGCTTTATTTAAGTGTTTATTTTAAATATGAATCTTGTCTTGTCAATTCCAGAGTGCATTTATATCGTTCTGTTTTCTGCATGTAAACGTTCTGTTTATTATTCCATTCCCTTTTATTCAGAGATCTAATTGTAGTAAAACGGTTTGATGGACACACTTATATAAAATATAATAATTATTAATATTGAAATCTCTTAATACTTGAAACATTCGAAGCTGGGAAAATTCTTTTTGTTAAATGTATACAAAACGGTGATTGATCAAGATGGCCAAAACACTAATCAAGAATGTTTTGTCCCCTTTTTCAGCAATTCGTTCACAAATTATTGTTTAATAAATACATAGAGGATATTGAATGAGTGTAAGTTCAATACTGAATTTATTGCACGAGTTGAATAAAATTATATTACGCGAGCCTCTGGCGAGCATAATATTATTTTATTCAACGAGTGCAGTAAATTCAGTAATGAACTTACACGAATTTAATATTCTATTTATCACATACCAAAAAATAAAGACCGTTTAAAGAGAAATACGTCATTTTTCAATTACGCGCCTATAGTATAACGCTAACATTTAGCGCGTCATTACACTATGTTTGTATAACGCTAATGACGTCACGTCAAAATATATGCACGGCCGTGCAATACCATATTTACGGAGTCGCAAAAACGGCACGGGTGTGTGATAAATCATTCTACTCCATACTACGAATCATAGCCGATGTGCCCTATACGTTCCAAATGAATAAGTACAGGGTCTTGTATTAGAACTAAAAGTTCTGAAGTTCCGACTTTACTATGCTACTATTGAGAAAATCAGCTGCAAGTTTATTATTGGTCAGCCCAAAAATTACGCAGTAATAAAATCATTGTTTTATAATTAATTGTTGCTGATAAACATTGATTAGCGGCCAATGTAATTATACTACAAAGGCTTTTAAAATGCAAAATGCATCATTTTATCATGGGACCATGCACATGCATAGATTATTCATTTAAAGTGCTATATTATATTGTCAAAAACCAATACACCAATACGTTAAGGTTAATGTATAAATGATTTTTATCAGAATAGTGCGTGTTTTACAAACAACTGAGTTACAGACATTTGTACTAGATCAACCTTCGTTCAGCAATATTTTGATTAATCTTTATCATCAGTGGCTTGTGACCACTCCTGCTCAAAATAGGAAAGTTCACACATTTTTCTATTTGCTTATGTAATATATGTATCTTTTGATCCAGTTATTTTATGTAATTCTTTTCGAAAATTATTTATGCTATGTTAAAAAATTACGTTTATACATACATATGTACATGTTTTATTGTATTACTTAATGTAATATTATAAAATATGATAAACAAGATCGACAAGGAAAGGCGGCGTTCAATGAACGCAGCGGCAAGGAGCCCAGGAGGACCCCAAAGAAAAAACGTTCTTTTTACGCGCCAAATGTGACGTCTATTAACGTAGACGTTTGTTTTGTACGTTTACGTCATTTTTATTTATGTATCAACTGAGGAAGCTGAATAAAGCGAAACATGTTTTGATACTTAATTTGTGTTGGTTTTTGATCCAATTATCTTATCTTATGTAATATAGAAATACCTAACCATATGAGCCGCGTCACGACAAAACCAACGTAATGCGTTTGCGACCAGCATGGATCCAGACCAGCCTGCGCATCCGCGCAGTCTGATCAGGATCCATGCTGTTCGCTTACAAACCCTATTACAAGTAGAGAAACTGATAGCGAACAGCATAGATTCTGATCAGACTGCGCGGATCGTTAAAGTTCTTTTATGATAAAACTGTCTTAAGATTTTTTTTGTAGAAATTTCTGCTGGTTAAATGTATAGTAACCGCAACAATGTTTAAGGGGGCAGGGGACATATTCGAATGATGGCCCCGGTCAAATTTTTTAATAACTCAGACATGGTGTTTTGAAGGTACTGATAACTTCTGATATTTCTCTGTCATTGTAATTCTTTCTTGTTTGTGTGTAGGAGGAAATGAGGAAGTATTTTTGGGTTTTTACCCGAAACTAAGCATTTTGGTAGCTTTATATGTATTTCTGACTCTCCGAATGGAGGTGAAAAAGTTAAAAATCAAGCTTTGACAGTTGGCGCCAAACAAGTAAGAAATTTCAGATAAATTTTGTGAAAAATCTAAACGTATGACAGACACTTTATTGGTCATTTCTGAAAATGCCATAGCTTGCACTGTGTGTTACTGAT